AGAAAGCATGACTCACATATATGTTGTTTACAAGAGACCCACCTCACAACAAAAGACTCACATAGGTTTAAAATGAAGGGATGGGAAAAAAAAAATCTTCCAAGCAAACGGAAAGGAAAAAGAAACTGGGGTAGCAGTACTCATACCCAATAAAGTAGATTCAAATAGAAGGCCATAACTAGAGACAAAGAAAGCCACTACATATTATTGAAAGGATCTATCCAACAGGAAGATATAACCTTGGTAAACATATATGCACCCAATATAGGAGAACCAACATATGTTAAAAATGTCCTGGAGGACTTCAAAGGAGAAATAAACAGGAATACAATCATAGCAGGGGACTTCATTCTGCTGACATCACTGAATAGATCATCTAGACAAAAAAATTAAAGGAAACACAGACTCAAAATGAAGGACTAGATCAAATGGACTTAATAGATATCTACAGAGAATTACACCCCAAAACTGCAGAATTCACATTCTTCTCAAGTGCACATGGGACATTCTCAAATATAGACCTCATGTTAGGGCACAAATGAAGTCTCTAGAAGTACAAGAAGATTGAAATTATATCAAGCATATTCTCAGATCACAGTGGCACAAAATTAGAAACCAATTGCAACAAGAACATGCAAAGACAGTTGAAAACATGGAGGCTAAATAGCATGTTATTGAACAATGAATGGGTTACCTTGGAGATCAAGGAAGAAATTAAAAAACTCCTGGAAACCAGTGAAAATGAACACACAACACAAAATCTATGGAATGCAGTGAAAGCATTTCTGAGAGGGATGTTCATAGCACTAAAGGCCTACCTCAAGAAACAAGAAAAATTTCTAATAGACCTATCTAACCATACAATTTAAAGAACTAGAAAGAAAACCCCACAGTAAGTAGAATGAAGGAAATAGTAAAGATCAGAGCAGAAATAAATGACATGGAGACCAAAAAAAAACCCAAAAAACAATTCAAAGGATCAATGAAACAAAGAGCTGGTTCTTTGAAAAAAATAAACAAGATTGATGAACCATTAGCTAGACTCACCAAGAACCAAAGAGAGAGACCCCAAACACAAAAAATCAGAAATGAAGAGGAGAAGTAACAACTGACACCACAGAAATGCAAAAGATCGTTAACAACTACTATGAACAATTATATGACAACAAATTTGATAATCTAAGTGAAATGGACAAATTTCTAGAAACACAGTCTCCCAAAACTGGACCGGGAAGAGAGAGAAAACTTGAACAGACCAATAACAACTTAGGAAACTGAAGAGGTAATCAAGACTCACCCAGCAAACAAAAGCCCAGGCCCTGATGGCTTCACGAGGGAGTTTTACCAAACATTCCAAAAAGAATTAACACCCATTCTCCTCAAACTATTTCAAAAAATTCAAGAAGTAGGAAGACTTCCAACCTTGTTTAATGAACACAGCACGATTCTAATTCCAAAACCAGAAAAAGATATTACAAAGAAAAAAAACGATAAGCCAATATCCCTGATGAACATAGACACCAAAATCCTGAACAAAATACTAGCAAATCAAATCCAGCAATACATCAAAAAAATTATTCACCATGACCAAGTGGGATTCATCCCAGGGATCCTAGGCTGGAACAATATTCGCAAATCAATAAATGTGATACTCCACATAAATAAAATGAAGAATAAAAACCACATGACCATATCAATAGATGCTGAAAAAACCTTTGACAAAATCCAGCATCCATTTCTAATAAAAACACTCAGCAATGTGGGAATAGAGGGATCATACCTCGACATAATAAAGACCATATATGAAAGACCTACAGCCAACATCATACTCAATGGGCAAAAATTAAAAGCATTTCCCTTAAGAATAGGAACAGGAGAAGGATGCCCACTCTCGCCACTCTTATTTAACATAGTACTGGAAGTCTTAGCCAAAGCAATCAGACAGGAAGAAAATATGAAAGGGATACAGATTGGAAAGAAGGAAATAAAACTGTCATTATTCGCAGATGACCTGATACTATACCTAGAAAACCCCAAAGACTCCATCAAATATTTACTAGACTTAATAAATGAATTTGGCAAAGTAGCAGTATACAAAATTAACGTCAAGAAATCGACAGCATTCCTTTACACCAATAATGTACTCACAGAAAGAGAAACTAAGAAAATCTCATTTACCATTGAGCAAAAAAAATGAAGATACCTAGGAATAAACTTAACCAAAGAAATGAAGGACCTATTTGCAGAAAACTATAGGTCATTGAAAAAAGAAATAAAGATATAAAAAAGTGGAAGCACATACCTTGTGCATGGATTGGAAAAATTAACATAATTACAATGTCCATACTACCCAAATCAATCTATAGATTCAATGCAATCCCCATCAAAATACCAACTACATACTTCACAGAACTAGAACAAATACTTCAAAAGTTTATATGGAACCAAAAAGACCCCGAATAGCCACAGCAATCTTGAAAAACAAGAACAAAGTAGGAGAGATTGCATTACCAGATTTCAGGTTATACTACAAAGCGACTGTAACCAAAACAGCCTGGTACTGGCACAAGAACAGGCATATAGACCAGTGGAACAGAACAGAGAAACCAGAAATGGACCAAGGCAATATGCTCAATTAATATTTGACAAAAGTGGCAAGAGCAAACAGTGGAGTCGAGACAGCCTCTTTAATAAATGGTGTTGGGAAAATTGGACATCTACATGCAAAAAAAATTAAACTAGACCATCAAATCACACCATACACAAGAATAAACTCAATGTGATTAAAAGACTTAAATGTGACTCATGAATCCATAAAAATCCCAGAGGAAACTGTAGGCAACAAAATTTTAGACATCATATGCAGCAGAATTTTTACTGGTACATCACCTAAGGCAACAGAAACAAAGGAGAAAATTAACACATGGAACTATATCAAACTCAAAAGCTTCTGGCACAGCAAAAGATACAATCATCAAAATGGAAAGGCAACCCACTCTATGGGAGAGCATAATTGCCAATGATATATCAGATAAGGGGTTAATTTCCAATATATATATAGAGAGAGTGTTCATTCAACTCAAGAAAAGGAAGACAAAGAACCCAATTAAAAAATAGGCAGAGGAACTAAATAGACAACTCTCCAAACAGGACATACAAATGGCTAAGAGACATATGAAGAAATGCTCAACATCACTAATCATTAGAGAGATGCAAATTAAAACAACAATGAGGTATCACATCACACCTTTCAGAATGGCCGCCATCAATAAATCATCAAACAACAAGTGTTGGCGAAGGTGTGGAAAAAACTGGACTCTAGTGCCCTGCTGGTGGGAATGCAGACTGGTGCAGCCTCTATGGAAAACATTATGGTGTTGTCTCAAAAAATTAAAAATTGAAGTGCCATTTGACCCAGTGATCCCACTTCTAGGAAGATACTCTTAGAATCCTGAAACACCAATCAGAAAGAATATATGTACCCCCATTTTCACAGCAGCACTATTTACCGTAGCTAAGATTTGAAAATAGCCCAAATGTCCATCAGTAGATGAATGGATAAAAAAGCAGTGGTACATATACACAATGCAGCTGTAAGAAAGAAAGATCCTTTGAGACTACATGGAGGGACCTGGAAAATATCATCCTAAGCGAAACAAGCCAAACAGAGACGGACAAGTATCATATGATCTCACTTATTTGTGGAATATAATGAACATAACAATCTGAGGAATGGGGTAGTCCCAGAGATGTGGAAATGTGGTATAGACTGACAATCCCCAGAAGAGGGGGTAGTGGGGGAGAGATAAACCACACAACTTATATGCATATATGCATGAACAAAGGTCATGGACAACAAAGCTGGGGACAGGGCAGGGAGGGAGGAGGAGGGGGAATCAGTGGGGGGAAAAGTAGAAACATCTGTAACAAAAATAAATTAATTAATTTTTTAAAAAAAGGCTCTTCATCCCAGGGTTCTCTACGCAGAGATATGCAGAGTATCTGGGCATGGGTTTATCTTTTTAAAAGGATAGGAAAATATTGAGATTGTTATTTTATGTGACATTAAATTGTTTTGAAAATATATAAAATTTTATTTATGAAGTTCAATTCCAAAGAGGAAAAAAAAGCTCATAGACGCAGACAACAGTATGGTGATTACCAGAAGGAAAGGAGGTGGAGGGAGGTAGAAGAGGATAAAGAGAGGATAAATGGTGACAGATCACACATTACAATATACAGATGATGTACTGAACAATTGTACACTTGAAACCTATATAATTTTATTAACCAATGTCACTCCAATAAACTCAATAAATTGATCGCTTTTAAATCTCAAAAAAATAAAGATAAAAATATGAGTGATAAAATGGAAATAAATACATATCTATCAACAAATGAATCTAAAAAGGCAAAATATATAAAGATGCAGAACAGAAACAGACTCATAGATACAGATAATATTTTGATGTTTTCCAGACTTTGTATGTGTATGACACCAAAACATGGCTAAAAATTTATTCATTACAATAATCAATTAGTGGTTAGCATCAGCCAATATGTTTTTACAATAAAATTCTATTTTTCACTTGCATGTCTCCAGAACCTTGGGACCTCTGAAAATTCAACAATTCAATTTTTATGTACACATCAATTTTACATTGGAAAAATTGTTATAACCATAAATTGAGTATAGCAGTGTCATAAACAGTGTGTGAATTATCATTAAATTTTTCAATATTGGTGTCACACAGAAAGACCCACTATAAACTAAGAAGAATAATTTACTTATTTTTTTATAGTTCAAAATGACAACTATTAGTCACAACCTTGATGCTTAATGACAATCAGCCTCGAACAAATATTTTAAAATGACACCAGCAGTAGCTTAATCTTAAACAATAAGCTGCTTAGTTTCCTCCTCTACCTCTTTTCCCTCCCACTCATTTTTGGGGGTATGAAAACTATAACATTATTATAGAAATGATTGTTGAACTCACGGATTATTAGACTTTGGAATAAGAGTGCCAAGCTCCTTGATTCTGTAATTAATATTATACCTTCTTCTTCTTTCAACTATTAAAAAATAAATATTATTTATTGTTGTCAATGTACAATTCAATTTTGAATAGCTGTAAACTTTCCTAATAATTTTTAAAACCATATAAAAATTACCATTTAGTCTAAAGTTTATTTCTCAAAAATAAAACAAAAATTAAAATATATTTTATTCTAAAAGTAAAAATGACAATATTAGAATTATGATTCTATTATTCACAATGCTTTAAAAATATTTTCCCCAAAATATGTTTTTTATTCCTTGAAATGCTGTAATAATTAATCATGCTGAAATATATATATATACATATATATATAATTATTTTATCATTATTTCACACATATGCATTTTGTCAGTCAATTAGGAATATAATCTTTTGAGGTCTGCACCCCACTGAACTCTTCTCATATACTTTCCTGAAGGCCTAAAATAAAGTTTGGCACATAGTAGGTGTGTGTGCTTAACTAGACTATCTCCTCCTTGAGAGAAGGGACCATTTCTTCCTCATTTTTGTAATCCCAGAGGGCTTGGCATATAAGAGGAGCTAAATAAATATATGATAATTAGACTGCAAATACATTTTCCTAATTTTTTTTTTTTTCAATAATATATGGAGCAGTGATTTTCAAACTTTGGTATACATGAGAAATGCCTAGAAAGATTGTTAAAATAGATTTGTACCCCACATGTAAAGATTCTAATTTTAGCAGGTCAGGGTTGGGGCCCAATAATTTGCATTTATAACAAGCTTCCAGGGGATCCTGTTAATCTAGGGTCCACACTTTGAGAACTACTGATACGGGTTCTTATTCAAAGACTGTTTTCTCTGTTTGCTTCTTTTTTTTTTTTTTATCCTCACCTGAGGATATTTTTCCATTTTTTGTTCAGATAGAGTGGGAGAGAGAGAGAGAAAGAGAGAGAGAGAAACATCGACGTGAAAGGGACACATAGAGTGGTTGCCACTCGCACAACCAACCAGGGCCAGGGACAAACTGCAACCGAGGTATGCACCCTTAGCAGGAACTGAACCTGGGTCTCTCTGGACCGCAGGCCAACGCTCTAATCACTGAGTCAAACCGACCAGGGCAATTGTTTGCATTTTTATGCATATCGCTAAAGGAAATTTAGTACATCTAATAAATGTTCAATAAGTGTCAGATATATAAATATCTATTTTTTTATGTTGAGCTCCTCTAAAAACAGTCATAGAGTATAGACTAGTCTTATAGTGTGGTATATATTGCTTGTATCAAGAATCACAACATACGCTTATGAATAATATTTTTTAAAGATACAATTTTTTAAGCTTTCCAGGAAATGGAAGAAAGAAAAGGTCATGAAGAAAAAAAAAATCGTATATCAAAAATATTGAAAAACACTTAAACAATACATTCTTGAACATTAAGATCTGCTATCAGAAACAGAGAAAGTCATGAAAGACTATCAATTGTCTTGGTGAACCTATTCTACAAAGTAATTTACCGTCATCGGATTTGACCTTCAGTAATTAATATATTGGAATTCCTCTGAAATTAGAATATAATTGGTTCTTGAGAGAGCTTATTTACCTTCTTTTTCAATTTTATTTTTCCTGTGCATGTGATAAAAAAAAATGACACCACACTTAAAAAAAAAAAAAAAAAACTGAAAAGAAAATAAACAAAGGTAAAGCAACACACATATATCAGACTGATAATTTATTAGTAATGCTATGTTCACATATACTCATATGTTAAAACAGACTTTTATATGAAATGAATAATATGAATTTATATGAAATGAATATGCTATGAAGGATGTTCACAATTTTATCTCAAAATAGGGAAGTGTTTTAGTCTTATAATATTTCTCCAAAATCCATTATTTAAATGCACCTTATGTAAAATATCAAAAGTTTCTATTCTATTTAGACTGTGCTTGAAACATGTCTAATGGCTAATTATAATGAGATATTTGATTTCTCAAAGTTTTCATGTCTAGTATTAGTTATCTGTAAAAGAGTCAAGTATTTTTTTAAAAATTGCTAATTTATTTCATGCCATGTGTGTTTTCACTCTTCACAAAATTTTTCATATATTCAGTAATTCCTGTTCTTAGATCTGGGCAAGAGGGGCCGTTATTTGGGACCCCATACATAAAAGGAACCACTTTTACCTTCTCTCATCATTCCCATCCCCACTGAGCAAGGCAGCCACACAGCCAAGTGAACCTCTTCTAAAGTATGCACTGGATGCTTCACATGAAAAATATCCTAATCCCATGAGCTCACTTCCAGAGCCTGTGTAAGCTACTTTCCAGATCTATCTTCCTAAGGGAGGTTCGTGAAACCAGTGTGTTTTCCTCTAGGCACACCGTGTGGACAAGGAGCAGTTGTTTGCAGATATTTGCATGGATCTTCAATTGTACTTGATGAGGTGTTCACACTCATGCCTAAGGCCACAGGGAACATAGAATAGAATATGGGGTGAAGAGACAAATGAGATGGGCTAGCATTGCCCCATCCTGACAACACCAGGTACCTATCATACTTTATATTAAATGACCAGTCATTTAAGCTGTAGATATGAGTGAAGAAAGGAGCAAGGAAAGTAATAATTAGCAAGCTAAACCTAAAACAGAAGCCTATAGTTCATTAATGTATTAATTTTTTCTATCAATAATTAGCTTTTCCTATTCATGTTCTGCTTGATTCATAATTTGGACCAAAGCTTATCTGCTCTCCTACTAAGAGCTATCAGAATCAGATAATTTCCCTCTCCACAACTTACTGTAAGGACTGTTATAACCTCTTGCCAGTTCATTCCTCAGAGTCACAGAGTTAGCAAAGTGTGATTATTCTGTGACATAGGCAGGTGTATATGAATAGACAGATGCAGGTCTCATACTGTCATATAGAATCAAATACAGCTAATCACATGTAAGGAAATTCGTTGTTTGTTTTAGAACATTAATGTTTTTATTTATTTTTATTTTATTTTATTTTTTCTCATTTTTTTATTTGAGTCCCAGAATAAAAAGGCTTCAGACTCAATTAGTCCTTAACTTGAGACAGTTAAGTACTTGAGACATGACCAAACACCATCAATGTTAACATTCCTGCTAAACTACTTCCCTTTCCTGTATTTCTTCATCTCATGTGACCAGTTATCAGAGTTAAACTGACCCCTTGGACGAAATCAGAAACATTTTATCAGAGACTTTTGGGGGGGGGGGGGCAGGTAGAATTCAGCAATCCAACATAAGTGATACCTTTCAGATAACTTATCATTAAGAAGGAAAGAGCAGATTGACAGAAAGCTAAGAACCTGGAGTTATGTTTCTTGTTTTTTAAATGGTAAAAACTTTCTAAAGCAACTTTTAACTCTTTAAACCTTTGAGTCACAACAGAGTTCAAATATAACTAAGTGCACTCATCTCCATCAAATGCAGCCTTCTTGAGAGAGTGATTAAGGAGAGAATTTGAAACGTTTCACTTTGTAAAAGTGTAAAGCTTTCCTAAGAGTTTACATCATTGGAATTTCCACAAATAGTTCAACTATGAGCATGTACTATTAATTTTTGTCATCTGATATTAAAATACTTATGGAGTGACAATGAATGACTATACATTTTTGCCTCCATGCATTCCCTTTTGCACTACTTAATTTTGTTTGGAAAATAAAATATACTCACTGAGGTTGTGGTTGTCTTTCTTTTGTCTCTCTTTTGCCACAGCTCGAGTGTCAGTTACTGATTGAAGTAAGATAATTAAAACAATTCTTAGTTCATAACTTTATAACCCTTGAGTCAACGTAATTCAGGAATACTAGGTGAAAATAGAATATCACTTGCTCTAAATGGTATACTATTTTTATGCAAATATTTAGAAATTTGAAGCACAGTATCCTTAGTAAGAGGTAACAGTGAACTCGTTAGTTTTTGAGTAATAAAACCTTGATTTGTATTCTGGCTCTCTATTTAATAGCTATGTGATCTATTATCTAAATTCTCTGTGTCTCAGGCTCTTCACCTGTATAAATGGTATAATACTGCAATGATTAAAAGCAGTATAGTGCACAGCAAATATTAAACTGCTCAATCATTATTATTATTTCCAGAACTTTAAGATTATTCAAAATTTCTCTACCCTAAATTTCAACAATGTGCATTTTTCATAAATTATTATGATTTCTACATTCTATGAGTTGGAACTGAGTACATTTCTAAGATATTACTATCAAACAATTTCATAATTCCAATAAATTACACTTTATATGCTATGCAGTTGTGAGCATTTGTAATAGCCTCCAACATGGCCCACAATTATTCTCATTCATGATACTCATACACTTGGTAATTCCCTCTTATATTGAAACCAATAGAATATTGGGAAAGTGACTAGTGTGCCTTCCAAAACTAGGTTATCAAACACATTTTCAGGTACCAAGTTGGTGTGTCTTGGGTCATCAGTTGCCATGTCATGATGACACTTGAGCAGCCCTATAGAAGTTCACATGGTAAAATACCAAGGTCACTTGACAACAAGCAGCACTAATTTGCAAGACCTGTGAGCAAATCACCTTGGAAACACATTCTCCAGCCCAAGTGTCAAATCCAGCAAATATCTTGACTATAGCCTTATGAGAAACTCTGAGTTAGAACCAATCTTCTAAGCCACCTCTGGATTTCTGGCCCCATAGAAATTATATAAGATAATAAGTGTTTATTACTTCAAGGTTTAAAGTTTTGGAATAATGTATTATGCAGAAATAGATAATTAATATATTGTTCCTTGAATCATTCTAGTTTTTAAATAAGTAATACAGAATACATTTATTTAAATTTGTTCATTTCAAATTATAGTCTTTAATTATAGTCTAAATTATTTGAATGTATAATTATTTGTGAGTTATTGATCAGATTTCCAGATTGGACATATTCCATTTACTAAAAATGTTAACATTAACTGTGTAAAAAGTATTAAAAAACAATGTTTGGGCTCCAAACTAAAAATGTGTTACAGAAATTTCTATTGAAGTTTATTTATTTTTATGCAGGAACTAACATTGGATATACAAGTCAAGAAATCCTTATTTGATGCATTTCTTCCTCTACTAACTCCTATATTTGGTGCATATATATTTACAAGGGTTGTATTATCTTGTTGGGTTGATCCCTGTAACATTATATAGTGACCTTCTTTGCCTGTCATTCATTTCTTACATAATTGACTAAAAAAGGACAAAACTATAAAAGCTACATTACCTGTAATTTCTTTTTTCATTGATAGACTTCTTAAACAGGAAGTATTTGTAAGGCCCATATTAACTGATGAAATGCTCTGCTCACCACTATACATATCCAAAATATCTCCAGATAACTTTAGAGAAAAGAGAAAGAAAAGGTTAATTAAACCTTTTATGGATATTGGTATACGTAGTTGTATATTTTAAATTTGACACTTTAAAAATAATTTTTAATATATATTTTAATTTTAAATAAGAGTGAGTATACATTGACTTTTAAATTCAATATAGGGTACTGTGAAAATGCTGAATAAAGTTATTTGTAGTTAAGCAAAACAATAAATAAATTAGTTCATTCATGAAGAAAAATTTTGATTAATATCTACAAAGTTATATAAGTTTGATCTCGCACATTACCTGGTTCTAAATGAATAACTTAAAAAATATATATGCTAGCAAATCTGGAAAGTTAGTTGCATATCATATATTAGTTATAATGGTTGAACATTTTAGAAGCCTTCTTAATGCCATAAGTGCTACCAGCAACTCACAATCAAGAAGTGTTTTACGCTGTTAATTGAATAAGAAATTTTTCTTCCGTGAAAGGCAAATTTTTCCTCACTGTACACTTAATGTACCAGATTATTATAAATGTTCCAGGTGGTAACAGAAAATAGTCTAATACTATTTTTTGCTTCTGGTAGATACAGTATTCATCTAATTATAACAACACCATGGTTTTCAAGGGCTTTTGGGAACAATTTTTCAGAAAACTAAGATGTTTTATACATGACTCAAAATTGTAGCAAAATAAACAAAAGGTAAAAAGACTTAAAAGTAAGTAGTAAAACCATAAAAAATTGTAGATGAAAATATAGGCAGTGAAATCTCAGACAATTCATGTAGCAGAATTTTTACCAATACATCATCTGGGGCAAGAGATAGGAAAGAAAAAATAAACAAATGGGAATACATCAAACTAAAAAACTTCCACAGAACAAAAGAACCATCTTCAAAATGCAAAGGGAACCATGATATGGGAGAATATATTTATCAAATATACACCTGATAAGGGGTTAATCTCCAAATATATATATATAAAAATCTCATCCAACTCAACAAGAGAAATACAACTTAAAAATGTGCAAAGGGATATATAAAGTATTCATATAACTCAACAAAATGAAGACAAACAATCCAAGTAAAAAGTAGGCAGAGGAGCAGAATAGACTCTTCAAATGGACATACGAGTGGTCAGGAGAGATAAGAAAATAAATGCTCAACGTTACTAATCATCAGAGACGCAAACTAAAATGACTATGAGGTGTATCTCACACTTGCCAGAATGGATACCATCAACAAATCCGCAAACAAAAAGGGCTGGCAGAATGTGAAAAAAAAAAAGATTCTCTAGTATACTGCTGGTGGGAAGGCAGACTGGTGTAGCCACTATGGAAAACAATACAGTGATACCTCGGTTCTCGAACATAATTCGTTCCAGGAGGACGGTCGAGAACCAAATTGTTCGAGAACCGAAGCAATGAAACTCAATAGGAAATAATGGAAACTGGATTAATTCGTTCCAAGCCCCAGAAAATGCCTATTTACTGGCCTAATTTGTATATAATATGTAGAAAAACATAAGTCTCAACAAGAAATAAAAGTGTACAGTATGTCTAAGGGTTAAATTCAGTGTAAAGCGCGACTCTCTCCACAAAGCGTGACTCTCTCCACAAAGCGTGACTCTCTCTCTGCACTCACACTGATGACGCAAGCAAGGCGCGCTGGGCCGAATGAACGCCATTCGGCTCAACTCGGCTCATCTCGGAAGTTCGAGTTCCAAATATTTGTTCGGATTCCAAGACAAAAGTTTCTCGAATCTCCTGGTCGAATACCGATTTGGTCGAAATCCGAGGCATTCGAGAACCGAGGTATCACTGTAGTATTTACTCAAAAAATTAAAAATTCAACTGCCATTTGACTCAGTGATCCCTCCTCTTGGGATATATCCTAAGAAGCCTGAAACACCAATCAGAAAAATATATGCACCACTATGTTCATAGCAGTGCTATTTACAATAGCTAAAATCTGGAAGCAGCCCAAGTATCCATCAGTAGATGTGTGGATACAGAAATTGTGGTATATTTACGTAATGAAGTACTATGTATCTGTAAATTAATTAATGTTTGCATATGTGAGAAATAAAGATCTTCTATTCTTTGATATAGCATAGATGAACCTGGAGAGTATTATGCTGGGTGAAATAAACCAGTCAGAGAAAGACAAGTACCACGTGATTCTCACTTATATATGGAATCTAATGAACAAAATAGGACCATGGACCTGAAAGCATAGAAAAGACTGACAAATCTCCGAGGGAAAGTGTGAGGGAATGCAGGAAGAGATACGCCAAAGAATTTACATGCATATGTGCATAAAAGATGGACACAGACAATTGACAGGAGAAGACCTGTGGTGGGGTGGAAGATAGGTGGAGGGGCAAAAAGGGAGAAATGAGGATGTTTGCAATAATCTCAATAATACGAATTTTAATAAATAGGATAAGAGATCTTTCTTTCTTACAGCTGCATAGTACTCCATTGTGTATATGTACCACTGCTTTTTTATCCATTCATCTACTGATGGACACTTAGGCTTTTTCCAGATCTTAGCTATTATAAATAGTGCTGCTATGAACATGGGGTACATATATTCTTTGTAATTGTTGTTTCATACTGCTTAAGGTATATTTTTAGAAGTGGGATCACTGGGTCAAATGGAAGTTCAATTTTTAATATTTTGAGGTAACACCATATTGCTTTCCATAGTGGCTGCACCAGAGTGCATTCCCACCTGAGACAACATGGAAGGACCTGGAAAATATTATCCTAAGTAAAATAAGCCAAGCAGAAAAAGACAAATACCACATGATCTCACTTATATACACAATATAATGAGCATAACAGTCTGAGGAATACGGTAGACCCAGAAACATGGAAGTAGGGCACTGATTGACTTCCCTCAGAAGAGAGTGTTGGGTGTGGGAAGAGATAAACCACAGAACTTCTATGCATGTATGCATAACCAATGGACATGGACAAAAAAGCCGAGGACGGGGCAGGGGGGGAAGGGGAGGAAGGTGTCAATGGGGTAAAAAAGGAGAAACATCTGTAACAAACAAAAAATAAATAAAAAAAATAAAAAATTTTAATAAATAAATAAAATGTGCTTACTGATTTGACTTCCCAAAAATTAATTTAAATAAGTAGTAACTTTTTTCTTTCTTAAAGGACCAGAAAAAATACAAATAATCAAACAAAGCTATAATTAGATTATTATGGAGACTAAATTCTTATTCCAACTTTTTGTAAAACTCTAATTCGAACTTAGTGAATTTTTTTTTTTTATCCTCACCTGAGGATATTTTTCCATTCCAGTTTTTGTTCAGATAGAGTGGGAGAAAGAGAGAGGAAGAGAGAGAGAGAAACATCAACATGAAAGGGACTCATCGAGTGGCTGCATCCCGCATGACCCAACCAGGGCCAGGGACAAACTACAACCGAGGTACGTGCCCTTAGCAGGAACCGAACCCGGGTCTCTCTGGACTGCAGGCTGACACTCTAACCACTGAGCCAAACTGGCCAGGGCTTAGTGATTTTTTTTTATACTTCTAAAATCAGACAGGAAAGAAATACGAAGATCAAAATTAATTTCTGAATAATAATCTATTACTCTGTATACATGTGTATATATATGTATATATATAATGAAATATTGTATATTTCTCAAAAAAAAACTTTAAAAGTACAGTGGAAGTTGGGCTAATCTGTAACTGCATGTGCATATCAATAAAGACATTATAGAATGTATATGGTACTCTGATGCATATTTTCAAATATTAGGTTTTTTAAAAATTATTTACTCTATTAGGACTCTTCATCTTTTTTGTTTGTTTATCCTCATCCAAGGACATTTTTGCATTTATCTTGAGATAGAGCAGAAGGGAGAGAAGGAGGAAAAGAGAGAAACATTAATGTGAGAGAGAGACATCAAGTGGTCGCCACCCACATGACCCCAACCAGGGCCGGGGACAAACTGCAACAGAGGTACATGCCCTTAATGGGAACTGAACCCTGCCCTCTCTGTTCCGCGGACCCATGCTCCAACTGCTGAGCCAAACCAGCCTGGTCTCTTCACCTTTTTTTTTTTTTTTTTTAACATAAAGTTATTATTCTCCATGGTATAATTCACTTGGATAATAAGGGTTAAGTGTTTATTTATAAATGAGTTGTCAAATTGCTTGATATTTATGAGGAAATATTTATTATTCCGGTAAAAAAAACAGATAACCCTTTTAATAAAGCAAAACCTTTGACATGACAATAGAAAAACATATTAAAGAACAAACTCACAAAGTTTAAAGACATATAAATAATTTGTTATAAAATATTTTCAACAAGGTAAAACATTCTCCTCAAGATAATATTTCTAACTAGTAAAAAACATAAACTCACCATCTAAAAAGTTACTTTGAGATGAGAAGTAGTTGACAATGGTTCCTGTTGTCTAAATTTCTCTACCTAGATTTTGTTCACATTTTCACTCCTGATATCATACAAATTGAATAAGGTGGAGTCTGACCTTCCCACATATACCTCCCTTTAACGTTAGCCAATATTCCATGAAGAAAATGAGCTCACACATCAAAATATCAAAACATTTGAGGAAAATGTCCGTATCAAAAGTAAAACAAAATTCTGTGTTAGAAATATCATTAAAACAAATTAAGATTACATGAAACCAAGTACATAAACTATCCATGTACAATCTTAAAGAAATAAAGGAATATATATGTAATAAATAATAATAGTAAACAAAGACAATTAAACATAAAAATGACCCAAATGATCAAGCAGAAATAAGAGGTGTGAAAATACACTTAAAGAAAGAAATCTGTAAAATAAATAAAAATAGCATAATAGATACTCTGTGAATAGAATAAAGAAATTAGCAAATTATAAAACCAAATTAATTTCTCAGGAAGATGAAGAAAAGGATCAAGAACTAGAAGATATGAAAGAAAATAAAATCAGTACAGAAGCTAGAATTATTAGCACTAAAATACAGATATTAG